TCAAGACTTCTGGATTTCTTCTCTGGATGTAAACAGATGGATCGTGGACTTTAACGAACGGAACTACAAGATCACCATCAATTGTTTTCAAGTCGTCACTCGGTGGCAATTGACACTACCGAAAAAGAAATCCTAATTGCCAAAACATCAAATCATTGTGAAATTCAGGGGGTGCCCCCCTGAATCCCCCCAGTTTCCTTTTAGGTCAGGGGGGCATGCCACCCTGAAACCCCCCATTTATAGTTAAATTTACTATTAAAAAACTATTTTCAAACATCAATAACTCAATAACTAAACTATTGATTTGCAGCAAAAATGAAGGCCATATATAATATATTCGTGTTCAGCATGCAAAATACTACTAGAATAAAAGTATATCAAACGGGTACATGAGACGGGTGTATTAGTATTAAAATTAGTAAAAAAATACCCGATAATTTTTGGAGAGGGCCTTTAGTCTTTAGTATGATGGTTACGAGGTCTAGATCTAGATTGGCTGATTTTGTAGTTTCATTCGTTAAAGTGAAGAGTAGGGGGGGTTTCATTCAGGGGGCTTGCCCCCCTGACCTAATAATACCTAATAAAAAATATCGAGAGGGGGGGGTGGTTACGGGGGGCATGCCCCCCTTCCCCCCTGAATTTACCATAATTTGATGTTTTGCAGTTAGGTTGCATCCCTGTTCTTTGTGTTGCCTATTTGGTCATCAAGACTTCTGGATTTCTTCTCTGGATGTAAACAAATGGATCGTGGACTTTAACGAACGGAACCACAAGATCACCCTAGATTCTACTTTGCATAGATCTAGCTGAAAATCTAGTAACTTGGTAGACTATAAATTATAGTATAATTTAAGTAGGTCTAGAATCTAGTCTAGATCTAGATTCTGTAGAGTTAAACTCTTGATCTAGAATCTAGTACTCTTCTAGATCTCCCAAATGCCGGCATGGGCGCCAGAGGAGATACTGCTGATGATGCCAGAGGCCAGAAAATCGAGAGTGACTAGATCTAGTTCTGTAGAGCCCCTTCCCATGTTTTAATTATAAATTAAAAACATAGTTTTGTTCTGTCCATGTTTAAGTTTAGGCTGTGATTAGAGTTGGGTCGGGCTCGCTGAATCAGCGTCCGCGAGTAATGAATTACTCGCTGGCACTACCCGCAAACGAGCGGATGGGTCACGAGCCGTCTGCTTGTGAAGAGTAGTTCGCTACTTGCTATGCTTGGGACAGAGACAACAGTTCGTTTAGCGAGCGGACGGACGGAGAGATTCTGTGCATTCGAGCAGGCGGACGGACGGACGTGGATGG